TTATCACGTGTTTTGCTCACGCTACCATCAGCAAATGGACTTCAAGCACATGCATAATTTCTGATCACTGAACCAGTTACCAGAGTGAAAACAATGCGCTCAGACACAATGCGCGAAATCACAATGTGTTTTAGAGTAACTAGTAACGGCAGAATCACAACGGCAGAATCACAACGGCAGCAAATCTTTGCGGCCCAACGGCAGAATCACAACGGCCCAACGGCAGAATCACAACGGCAGGAACGTCACAGTGGAAGTACCCCACAACGAAATGTACAAGTTGGTCCAGATAACAACGTTCGATTCACCAACACCAACAACTCTGTCACCTGACCGCACAAGTAAGAGTGTGAGTTCTCACTGGCAATGAATTCTCCTCAACCAGAGCCTCACCGTCGGGCGAGTAGCGGAGTAGCTTGTTCTTACGAGCTCCCAAGACTAAACTTACTACACTAGAGAGACTCAACTAAATGAAAAAGACAAACAATGAACAAATAAGAAAGGGGGGAGGGGTACAGAGCAAGAGAAATTAACATACGCTACATAAAAAACAAATATTTTAGAAAATGGCAGGGAAATCGTTGTAAATACAGTGAATAAATGAGTGAAAGCTATTATCATATGTTATCTAGCTGTGTAATAATTAGTATTATATCAATTTTGAAATAGAAACACCTCTAATCAAAAGACATCAGTTACAATTACAGCCGATGAACACGAAAATTTTATCTAGAATGTGACACTTAATACAGAAAGATTTCCCGCATTACAAATATTTATTGTGTGTAAAATACTGCCATTAAAACATTAAATTATTTAAATACTGGAATAAGTTCATCAGTTTTTATGATAAATCCATGTAATTAACCTATTAGCAACAGCTATGACAAATAGTCTAGCTGCCTTCATCAAGCTGAATGAAGAAATGAAATGAAAAAATACTCTTATTACTGAATTACAAATAAGCCAACATCATTAATTAGCCAACTAAAATATATGCAATTATATAATGTCCTTTGTAATTAAAAATAATTCAAGACCAGTTAATTGCGACCTGGGAGTGTTCTCTTATGTTTCAGAAAAACATGCTTCTTTTATCTCCCAACTAGCATGCCTCACCACAGAATGTTAAGCGTTCCCTTCAATTTTCTTTCCAATTTGCGGTTATGTATTTTAGTTATGTAGATACGCCAACATCGCCACCACTCAGGGCCGGACTAAGCGTGTGGGGGGCCCGGGGCACGCAATTGTGTGGGGGCCCTATAGTCTGTATTTTTTCCGCACTTTCATGCTTGCAAATTCAGAGAGTATTTCATCGTGTTTCAACGAATTTAAAATGTCACTTTCGATAGCGAGAATATTGAGGTTTACCAGTCTCTGTTGGCTCATCGTGGTTCTCATGTGATTTTTAATCAACTTAAGTTTTGAAAATGACCTTTCACCGCTACAATTCGAGACCATCAATAATCAGCTGAACAGCGAAATTCAGTCAGCGAAAAAGCATGGGAAACGCATCACTTCAACGTTACATGCTAAGAATTTTGTGGATCACAATTACGACAGTTTTGTAAATTTTAGGATTCTCTAAATGTGGGGGGCCCGGGGCACGTGCCCCTGTTGCCCCGCCCTTAATCCGCTAGTGCCACCACTACACGCGCACACACACGCACACTAGCGCACGCACACACACACACACACTAGCGCATGCACACACACTAGCGCACGAACACACACTAGTGTACGCACGCATGCACGCAGTAGTTTCACAGACTAAAACAGTCAATAGGGCTATCACGAGTAGCGAACTACATGGCAGGAGTCTCAGCTGCCTGTGAGCCTGCTATTCTCTCCTGTCAAGAATCATCTAAGATTCGCTCACTAAATACGGAAGAGAGAGATAGAAGAAGCCCTACGACAGGCTGACGCCAGGCAGGCCCGCCGGCAAGCAATGTAATAAACTACTGTTTAAACTATCTATCTAAATACTACAATCAGCGGTGCATTTGGCACGCAGATGTGGAACACACGGGCGTCTACCCTACAACCGTGTTCTCTCTAGCCACGCAGCTGCCCTACCCAGGCGTCCGTCCAGCAGCCAACCAACCCGGGCTGGTGGTGGCTATGCTGAGCGCGAGGGTGTACATGCCACACGAGTCATCACTACGATGCTGCAGCAGCTGCC